ATTATAATGTACCTAACTACTTCATGATTATAATGTACCTAATTACTTCTTGATTGTAATGTACCTAACTACTTCATGATTATAATGTACCTAATTACTTCATGATTGTAATGTTCCTAACTACTTCGTGATTATAATGTATTTAACTACTTCATGATTACAATGTACCTGATTCATGATTCAAATAGACATAACTGATTCAGTCCTCACACAGTACCTTCAATACCAAGACGATCGTTAAAACTTAGTCCATTTCATGTGTTATTTAGGTATAACAAACATGGAGAGTTCAGTTTTGGATTGAAAAGATGAATTATATACACAAAGTAATCTCGCCAGGCTCTTCAAGTGTAGACGTTGATGTAGAAAACCAGAAGAAGAAGAGAGTTTAAAAAAAGCTCTTATGCTAAGAAACCGTTTCATCAAGACGTCATTGAAATTTGCTTGTGGTTATGAGATGTATAAAAATGCCCCCCATCCCAGTCAAAAAGTGAACTCTTTGTTATTGTATCACATTCGGGAGTGTTGGAAACGTTTATTCTTTATATACCTATAGTTCTTAGAATATTATCAAAGAAAAACAATTCTGATAATTTGTCATTAATTTATTCTATAATTTTATCAACATTATTCAAGTTTTCCAGAAACATAGTTATTGTGCAACATTTACAAAATCTTATCAACTTCAACATCAACTGGCTTTTCTACTCGACGATTCCTTTCCCACTAAAATTTTGAAATTTGCCTTTCAACATAAGTTTGGCATTTAAATAATATAATTATTTGTCGCCTGAGATTTTCCTATGCAGTTTGGTATATATATATTTATATATATAGAATAGTTGAAATATCAAGTTTCTAGTTGTTAAGATTTACACTTCCTTTGAAATGTCTATAAAATGATTCCTAAGCCTATCATTTTGGTTGAAACATATTTCTAAAACTCACTGAAGAAAATAAACACATCATAAAACAAGTGTTGTAAGTTGTACATAAATCATGGGACTAGACGGTATTTCAAGGGAAACGGAGTTTCTTTATATATTTGATTTAGAACGTAGTTCAGGGTTACTCACGACTTTATAATCATCTACTCTAATCTCAGCTATTTAATATCAGCATTAAGATTGAAACTACGTGCGTTTTTGTAATAATAGTGGATATCTGTGCATTAGATTTAACTGAAAAGCAAGGGCTTGATATCTTAGAACACCCAAAACGTTCGGAAATTTATATATATATATTATGGATTACGAACAATGGTAACACAAGTTAGGAAGAAGTGGTATTTACTTTATCCCTTGTCTAATCTAAAACAGATTAATTAATTCTGGTAACAATATCTTAAAATATAAAGAATAAAACTAAGTCATATACGAAACTATGTTTAAGGATTATTTTAGTTAAGACTGGTTGTGCAGAGTGTGCTCGAGATAGAGTGCAGACATTATGGTGGGGCTAAATTAAGTTTTTATTAAACCCACACTAATCTTTATTTTCTAACTTAGAATTAGCAAGCTCCAACTCACCCGGGTAGTTATGGACATCTGAGAGGCAAACCGCATCCGGGACTTGGAAGGACTTGGTCTCGGAGATATGTTGGGTGATCCTTCGGACAGAACTGCCGATGATCCTTGGACAGAGGCCGGATGATGTCATTGGAGTGTGACCAGCTACTTGATCAACGTGTGCATGCATATATTTACTTCTGTAACAGCTAGGTACTACTTTACAAGCACATTCACAATACATGCAAACAATCCATGTAGTGTTGTATCTACCAGTCATGGCTGAAATGTTTCAGAAACATTTCAAGATAGACATTAAATTTGCACATTCGAAACAATTGAAAATAGGATTCCAAACGAATGATGTACATGTTTCTAAAACAAGTCTTCTTTGTGTTTGTGAAATAAGTTAAAATATATTTCAAACATTCTGGTTCATGTTTGTGAAAAATGTGATAGATTTTGTAAAAAACAACAACATTTGTAACCAAATACTGGCTCGTATTTTTGAGTAACGGGTATCATCTAAGGATCTGTTGATTTTTTGTAAATATACGAAACCCACCTTAACACATCTTTGTTCTTATCTTTGAAATGTGTGAACATTACTTAAAAGCTGGTGGTTCATATTTGTGAAACTTATGAAACACATGTTGATCCGTTTTTGTAAAACTTGTGAATCTTTTTTAGACAGTACTGATTATAAGGTTGTAAGTCTAATTATCAATAAGTTACTTTTTTACCATATACACATTACTAGCTCGTTTAACTCCTATTTTCCAGTTTCTAACTAATATGCTGCCGTCTTCAGGGAAGTTCTTAGAAGGACAGTGTTTTCCAGTGGTCCGGTTTCGATCCTGGGTCTTCCTGGTAGAAAGACTGGTATGTTGTCCTTTTTAAGATCCTGGATTTGGCTGAGATATGTTAACGATACGTTCGTAATATTGCTGTACGAGTGAGTAGCGCATTCGCCCTTCTATCAAGAAGACCCAGAATCGAATTCACACCAAAACGCAGTCATTTTCAGGACTTCTCTGATTAGTAGCCGAAACATAGAATATAAATGAATTAATAATTAGTATATAGCAACTAATTAATAAATAGAATTAGATATCGTATAGGCTATTAATTGTGATAACTATTCTAGATACTTGATACTTTTGTGATGTGGAAAGTCTTTTAAACACAAGATGTTTGTGTCACAAATGAAACATTTCCAATCGAAACTAGACTGTTTACGTGAAACCAATGGAGATAAGCACTTTTAAGCCATATTTAATTCTCGTGGAGAATTACTTCTGTTTTTTTCTAGAAAAGAGGGTAGCATGTGTTTAATAATTTATGTTTGGCAACATTGTATAACGTGCTGAGTTACAATCAAATAGAAAAAACAATAGCATTTTTTGTATTACATAAATAATATGAAATCAAAATCATTTTGATTGAAAACACTGTACAGATTTAGAAATTGTCTATTATGTTCTATTAATCATTTATAATAACATAATAACACCTGTGAGTTAAATTTTTGAAAAGGATTATAAACCATGTGCTTTTGTTTAAGGCATTGAATGCTATGAGTTTTAAGCAAAATGCTTAAACATGATATGCAGATATTATGAGACTGCTACCCTTCTATTGTATGAAAATGAATTGCACCAGAGTACAGTCACGTGCTAATAGTGCTCATTGTGATTGGCTGTCATCCAACAAATCAGCTAATGCCTGTAAAAGTACAGGAAGTCATAACATGCTTAAATGAGTAGAAATAAAAGTTTTGGTTCTAAAGACTACTTCATGTGACAGATTCACGCGAAATTTCATGTTTCAAAAAAAGCTGCATGGAAACTCTGAAGAAGCTACGGGAAACTTATAATAGTTATAACAGAAGTTGTTGAGGTAGCAAGCCCACACTCTTAAAAAATTATTTTAAGTAACTCTTCACGTAATATACAATAATCCACTATAGATTTTTGCTAATGACTGAGCTATAAGTACTCGTGTAGTAGAATAATAAGATATGTAACCTCAGTAGATGTGTAGCTGCTCAAAACTACTACTTAAGAGTGACAACCATACAAAAAGTTAAAATGGGCACCATACCTCAAACAGTGAGATACGTTATGCTGGAGGACGGTGCTCTTTGTAGATGAATTCAAATTCAAATTGTTTGGTCAATCTCTAGAGTGAAGCAAGATGGGGACCAGTACAAGTGTGGACTACATTTTAGTCAATGGTGTTGGATTTACACAAAATCGATGACATCCAAATTACTGATAGGTATAATCAGACTCTTATCTATCATATTAACCCCATAAGAACAAGACCTGTTGGGCAGGAATTTATCTTCCAGAATGAAAATGATCCCTTGCATTAGACAAATTTAATGAAAAGATAACCCAATAAATAGAGCCCAATAGATCATTCACAACCATGGCTTGGTCTCAACATAGTGCCAATTTGAATACTTTTAAGGCTATGAGCTTATATAGGTACTGAGAAGGTAAAACAGCAACTAGATAACTTGGGTGAATTGTGGGGAGTAACGCAGGACATTTGGAATATTTAATAATCATACACTGATAAACTCTTAGCAGCATAAAAATAATCTATATTTCTCCGTTTAATGCAAGTACAAAGTAATATTACATTATACAACGTATTCGTATTTGTTTTGTATTTTCTTTTAATAACGCATTGTACTAACTTGTGATAACTTAGATGCAATTACTCTCTGTTTATTACTCCTGTGCGTTTCTATGGTTATTTACAGTACTGTGTATACATAAATATATATCAACAACAAATAAATTAACATTTAAGAAGTAAAGCTTTTATGATTATGTTACAAAATACTGAAAATAAAGTACAAGACGTGAAAACGTTGTATTTGACAAAAATACATGCAGTTATATCGTACTAACTCAGTCATATTTCATATCAAAATAATAACTGTGAAATTATGAGAATTATAAAGCACACAATGAACAATAAACATGCTAATATACAATTCAACTAAATTTCATAACAACAATTAATAAAAAAGTTAATAGCAATAAGAATTATAATAAAACAAACCAAGGCAATTTACAATTAAACATTCCAGGGATAAAAGTAAAATCATGATGCTGGATGTCAAAAATCGCTATCACACAAACAGCTTCGACAAAACTCAAACTTCGTGTGATGTAAAAACAGCAAAACTTTTGTGGGTGAAACGTAAAGCATCATAAATGTGAAAAGTTTTCTGATCAACGCATTAAGTATACTAAACTTACAACGTACATGATTACTGTAAAGAATGTTTAGCAGCTCAGCAAGTCATATTTTACAAACGGCGTGACATAGGAAGGTGAAATTACACGTGGATGATAAGGGTAAATTACACGTGGATGATAAGGGTAACGTACCGATGTAAATGCCACATTAATTTGAATTAATATGATAGAAAAACAAAATATTTTATAATTGAGAATAAGAAAGATCAATTATTTGAATATATAATTAAAATAAATGCAATTAATTTCAATCTATAAAATAAGTACATCGTATGTATTTTTGTATATAAAGAAACTCGCTATAAAATGTAAATACTTACGTTTTGCAGCTTGTTTCCATAATTGGGGGTAAACGACATGGCTGAAAAAGAAAGCAAGAAAGGCATACGTCAAAAACAGTATATAAGCGTTTTGCTTATGGATTTCTTTCATTTAGTAACTTTGGACTAATTATCGTTTGAGAACAGAGTAGTTACAAATTCCTTTCAATTCCTTGTTACCGCCAAACATTGACGTGTGCGTGTTTGTGATTTTTACATGTTTTTTTGGCATCATTAAGTAAAGAGATTTAAGTTCAGTATTTTTTATTCTATTCGAAATCATAAAGAAACTTTGCAGAAGTTAGGTTTTCCAACGTTTTGGGGGTAATATGAAAAAAGGACTTTTTTACTGAATGGGGTAAATCTTCATCTTTGTCAGTTTTCAGTAAATTACTGTATATTCTCAAGATCTTCAGCTTGAAACTAGTTTATCAGCTACTTTAAAAAAATGTTTATTTAATAACAACTAAAACAAATAGTTCAATGAACCAAAGTGGTAACCACAATTGAATTGTTTCGACATCGCTTACTAAACGTAATAAACATGTTTCATTGTATTCAGTTATGTTTTATGAAACATTTGCTATCTGGTGTTTTCAATCTGAAACGGCTAGCTAAGGTCACAGATATCTAAGGTTCAGGTAAAGCCATATGTAATTTAGATATACTAGCCAGAGGAAGAGTAACCAGCCAGCAGCACCCATCTCCTCTGAGAGAACTTTTAATTGTTCAACAGATGAAAATGACTCAGAGTATTACTTAAAACTTAATGTGAAGAAAATATTTGTACCACTTGGTATCAATAATTATGTTTTAAATGTTAGAAGTTCCCTTCTCGTAAGTCTGAATTTGTTGAAGCTGGATAACATGATACATAAAACCATAACTTTGTTATATTTTCTACGAAGTAAAAATAAGAAGGATATGTTTCTCGGTGTAATTGGAAAAGCATGGTAAAAAAAACTTTATTAAGTAACAAATGTGTAAATATAAAAATGACTTGCCCTACGCTTTTACTATGTTTTACTAATCAGTTCAACAAAGCATATATCTTTTTATTCACCTCACAGACACATGTACACAATATCATTATTTCTTCTTTTTTTTCAAAAACCTCAACACCATGCTCCAAAAATAATTACTTTGGAGTATAATATCATTAGCTGTATGTTTGAATAGTTCTTTAATAAGCCGATCCCTTAGGGTGGGTAGTGGATGATAGGTTGCTGCTGGCTGATTGCCTTTTTTCTGGTCAGTAGCTCAAAATTAGAGACAGTGGTAGATAGCTTTAGTAGCTATGTCATAGAAACCGGGTTTCGATACCCGTGGTGGACAGAGCACAGATAGCCCGTTGTGTAGCTTTGTGCTTAACTACAAAAAAATGAACTTTAAGAATAAGAATAAATAAAAAATAATGAATTAGCACAAAAATTACTTCGATCATTTAACCTTTTTTTATAGTATGATGGAGGGCGTATAACAATTAAAACATTTTCAAAGTAGCATATAAATGTCGTGAAAATACTTCGTAGACAAAAAATGGAAATATTCAAGTATTAATAATTTAAAGAGAAAGGAAACAGCGTGAATAATTTCCAAGTTTGATATATGTCCATTTTCTGCTTTTGTATGTTTGCATGTCAGATAAACTTCAATATATAAAACGAAGTTATCTTACTTGGTGAGCACTTGGACACAAAACTAGTCTCCCAGCATCATATGAAGTAGCTGAAGAGCACTAAGGAAGCGTACTAACGCAGAAAAATATACCTGTTGTTGTTATTTTGATTCGGTTGTAGCTTGTCTTATCTATAAATTACCCTTGTAATCCCATCATGTCCTGCGGAGGTGTCGCTAGATACTTAAAAGATTCGGGGCTCGAGCCCATATGGGCAGGAATTTTCGGCGTTTCAGTATAGTATTAATCATGGTTTTCTATTCACATTTTTCAAGACATCAACTAAGGATTCGGGGGCACGGGCCCCGTGTGCCAGTGCCTAACGACGCCTCTTATGTTCTGGTAGATGCATTTGTTTGTTTTTTAATTTTGCGCAAAGCTACACGAGGGATATCTGCGGTAGCCGTCCCTAATTTAGCAGTGAAATATTATAGGGAAGGCAGCTAGTCATCACCACCCACTGCCAACTCATGGGCTACTCTTTTACCAACGAATAGTGGGATTGACCGTTAAATTATAACGTCCCCCACGGCTGAAAGAACAACATGTTTAGTGAGACGGGGATTCGAGCCCGCGACCCGCAGATTGAGAGTCGAGTGCCCTAACCACCTGGCCATAGTATTGCATTGACAGACACTGAAAATATGGTAAGTACCTCCAATGAATGATAATTTTTATAGTGTCTTTGGTATAAACACCTTGATTTTTGATATGCGTAAGTGTCAACATAATCGATGTTAAGCCACTTGAACAAACCTTCTTGACACTTACAAACACTAAACGATGTCCGGTAAAAACTTGAGGGTTGCGAGTCAAGCGCCCTAACCACCTGGCCATGCCGAGCCAAACTAGCGCTATCTTAGCTATATCTAATGTCTGTAACTCCAGATAATCTACAACTGCGCAGTTTTTCTCATAGCCTCCAGTTAGAACAAATAAAGTTTTCGAGCTTTTATTTGTCTAATTGTTCAACAGTAATGTATGTATTCTTGGTGTATTAAAAAATAAGCGCGTTATGTTTAGCATAATCTTCAAAGTTAACGAATTTTTAAAAACAGAAGCGATCGGTTAACATGTAGATTAACAACACGGTATATATTAGGTACAGAAAGTGTATTAAACAGGTACACTTCATACAGTTTGTTTGGTTGTTAACCCTGTTAATTTATTTATAGAAACTGCTTGAAAACAGAAACATTTGCAATCGACACATAGATCGGTAATCCTGTTTCTGCCATGTAAATGGCCTGTTCTGTGTATAAAAACAAATAATATATATAATATATAAATAAAAGGCTTCTTGATTAGTCTCTGTTTGTTTCCGACATGAAACTTACCCATTCTAAAATACAGACATTTCAATTAATGACGCTGTTTACTTTGTTGTATGGAAACAAGACCACTTGATGGCCGTTGAACCTTGGTTATTGACTGTATATTGTGTACCTAGTACGGAATGGCACGGATAAAGTTTATTGTTTTTTATTATTTTCGCACAAAGCTAAACAAAGGACTAACTGCACAAAGCTAATAAGCTAAATGGAAGACAGCTAGTCAACAGAATCCACCTCAACTCTTTGGACTACTCTAATAAAATAGTAGGATTTCACCGTGACTCCTATAGCGCACGTATAACGCCAAAGTGCGGAATGTCAAATTTACGGCAACGGAACGCGAGCCATGAATCTGTAGATTCACAGTCAGGGCGTGCTAATCATTAACCCATGCTAGGCCATGTAACATGTCACCATATCAATTATTGACTTAATATTTACCAATTATGAAACTTGTCTGGAAACAAAACCCCTTGATGTTGTCATATCAGCTATTGACTTTACATTTACCATGTGGGAAACTTGTTTGGAAACAGAATCACTTGATGTCGTCATATCACTTAGTGACTTTACAGGTATCAAGTATGTAACTTACCAAAAACAGAACCACTTGATGCAATCCCATCATTGACTCTTTTTATGTTAGGCACGAACTTGCACCAAAATAGAACCACTTGGTTTTGACCCATCAATTACTGACCCTAATTACATCAAATATGAAACCTGTACAGAAACACAACCACTTGATATAGAACCATCAATTACTGATCCTATTTACATCAAGTATGAAACCTGTACAGAAACACAACCACTTGACATGAACCCATCAATTATTGACTCTACTTATACAAAGTATGAAACCTGTACAGAAAAAAACCATTTGACATAGACCGATCAATTATTGACTCTTTTTATACAAAGTATGAAATCTGTACAGAAACACAACCACATGATCCAGACCGTTTGGTTATTAACTCCATTTATATCAAGAATGAAGCCTGTCTGGAATCATAGCTCTTGAAATATACTTCTTTGTCTGAACTAACATATGGCAAATGAAACTGATGAACTACTACTATTGATCATCATTAGAATTAAGGTACTTTTGTGCAGAAGAATCAGAAACCATAAGTTCCAGATGAATGGCCCAATATGTTATTTAGCTCCCAACTTTACAGATTCTAGCTTTTCAAAGTTACAAATTTAGTGTTACCCTATAGAATATTCAAACAACATGTCACAGTAGACAATACCTTATAACTATACGTTTGTACATATGACATTATGCTATTTGGCAAACCAATGATCGAAGGAAAAGTAGGCTAAGGCGATATTAAAAGAAAATAAAGTATTTGTTAATCTTATCAATTATTTGTTTAATTTAATAATGCTTAAACTAAATTATTGCAATTCTAAAGTATACAAACAACTTACGTTATAAAGATATATAATTAACACACCTAAGATAGCACTGTACAAAAGTAATAGATATTGCAAACTTCATATCATGAGCTGAAAGTAAACAAGCAAAGGTCATTAAAACAGAACTTTCTTTAAAAAATGATATGCAAACAAAAAATAAAAAATATTGCAAATTTCTATCATTCCGTATAGTTCTCTAAAGGTGACTCTGCTTGTTTCAGAATTTTCGCGCCAACCTACAAGAGCTATCTGCGCGTGGATGTTCCTAATTTTAAAGACCTGGCCTGGTGATTAAGGTACTTGACTCGCACTCTGAAGGTGGCGGGTTCGAATCCCCGTCATCAAACATTCTCGCCCTTTTAGCCGCGTGGGCGTTATAATGTGACGGTTAATACCACTATTCGTTGGTAAGAAGAGTAGCCCAGGGTTTGGCGGTGCTTTCCCTCTAGTCTATCACTGCTAACTTAGGAACGGCTAGCGTAGATAGTCCTCGTGTAGCTTTGTGCGAAATTCAAAACAAACCAAACCCTAATTTTGAATGTTACTCTAGAGCGAAGGCTGCCTAGTCAACAGCACACACCACCAATTCTTTAACTACTCTTGTCTGACAGAATTGTAGGATTTGACTGTCACTCTTATAGCCCCACAGTATTTCCACATTTTTCTGAAAACTAATCACACAAATTGAACTCACCATAAATCTTCGTTGTACAAAACGAATCTATTTGAGAAATGTTTATATTTAATTTTCTGACACTGGTGAGTCAGCGGTAAGTTTCAGGACTTATGATGCTAAAATTTGGGGTTCGATTCCTGCGGTGGACAGAGTGCAGATAGCCCATTGTAAAGCTTTGTGCTAAAAAACTAACAAAACAAACTTCTTATAGTACACTAATTACATTATAGAAAACTTAGGTAGCTTATTAAATTGCAAGCGCGTCAATTATGTTGACTTGTAGTCATAAAATCCGGACCTAGTTTCTAATAAATAACTTATTATAAATAACGTATTATTTGTTTTATAATTTCGAACACACAAAAGACCTCTTATCGAAAAATTTTGAACTTTATATAGAAACAGAATAATGAAAACAGACAAGTATATTTTGAGAAGCTACAAACTGCACCTATGATAATATGCTGTATATATTATATAAATAAGACCTTCTAGATTAAAAAGACGTAACAACAGAATCTGTTCAAAGCACCTATCTTTTAAGGACGAAATAACTGAATCTACGTAAAGTGTCAAGGAATTGTTATGTAGATGAGCCTAATTGTCTATAAAAAGACGTAATTATGAGACCGAGGTAAGATATTTAGCTTTAGAAATTGTAGATATTTACATATTTTCTAGTTGTTATGGTGATACAGACTAAACGCAAATGAAAATTCCGTATGCCTAACACCAGTAGAAAACTGTCAACTGAAACATTACAAAATTATTAAATGAATAACTTAATAATATAAAGCACATAATGTTTCGGCTTGCGTCTTTCCCAAGAGGTAAAAGTCTCTACTGTATCAAATATTCAAATAATACACTACAGTTTTAAGACGTCAATAAATATATTTTATGCAAGGATTTCTTTATGGTACGTGGCACAACAACGCGATCTTATTCACAGAAGTTCTATTGGAAACGTCGCATATGACGTTGGACACGCTAAGTGCTCTGCTACATATATTGTAGAGCCAGATCACCTCATATACAGAGATTCAGTACATTATATCAAAACGATTTTGAAGCCTCACCACGTCATTATGATCAACGTCGCCACGTCCGATCAAGCTATATCTACCGACCATGCATCTTGACTGTCATGTCCAAAACACATCATTTCTCTTTCCATAATCTACTTAATGTACGAGGACAACGGTTTCCCAACGTCCGTTTCAACAATCCGATCACACCAAAATCCATAGGTATGTCTTATTCGTATGGAATAACAACGTGACTTTTTGTCGCTTTTCCAGGCAGAATTCCTTCTTAATTATGATTAGTATTGTTGCCTCGAATACGTGGAAGGCCTTTATCACTGATATTTCCGTTCGTGGTTTTTCATCTGTTACAAGACGCTTCACTTTACTCACTATGGCTGGAGCACGACTTGTTGCAGGGTTCGTTTTGGATGGTCCTAGTGCCCCAAGTTGATAAACGTCCTTTTGTTTTTCAGGGCAATTAAGTACAAGGAAGATCCCCGTTTTGTAAACTGTAATTCCCCGATCTGAACAAGTCTTTATGATTTGAATGTATTAATATTTACGTCGAAAAGGGCTATTATATACTCTTCCCAAAAATGATCAATTTACGGTGGCATCAGATTACCCACAAACGCCAAAACAAAATATAGTTCTGATATATGCCGTTCCACCGTGACTTTACATAGACTGTGGTTGTAACATCTGCACAGTAAATGAGATTCCGCTTCTCTGTGGGAAATAAGACGATACCAAAATGTTGAATGTAATGATTTCATTTTGTAAAATTAGCAAAAATCTAGATAATTTCCAGAAGAACTTTTTTTTCTCCTACAAGTGTCTTCCATAAACAACTCTAATTTAATTAAGAACGGACAACTGTGTTAACTTTATATTATGAACAGAAATCAACGAATATGTTTTACAAAATTTTGCATGAAGTATCCCTAAAAGTTATGATCCGGTCCTGATATAGTGGTTTGCAAGCTATAGATCGAAGGGTCCAGGGTTCGAGACGTGATGCCGCTGAACAAAATAAGCATTTTCAGCTGTAGGCGTGTTATAGAAGTGACAGTCAGTCCAGTTATTCGGTTTATAGAGCCAGACAAAGCCCTTATAGCGATAGGTGCTGCTTGCTGGCTGCCGTCTCTCTGATCAGTAGATCAAGATTGGGGACGGCTATACTTGACTCCTGTGAGTCTCTGATCTTGCCATTAGCCAACGAGTGCGCATAAGATTTCGTTCAGGTTGAAAATTTGAATTTCTTTATAACAATCTTATAAAACATATATTTTCAATCAGTTTAAAATGAAATCTGTATGACAACGTATAAACTTATAATGCAATACTAGTGTATGTAAAGAAATTGACAAATAAGTGTCTTTTGGAGATTTTCATAAACTTATTAGAAACTAGCTTTTAACACGCACACACACACACGAGATAAAACAAAGCTTAATCTGAAGCAAAATAATATGTTAGGAAAAAAATATTTAGTTTTAAAAACGGCTCCACACTTGAATCACTCTAATGAGTGACCAGGTCCTATTTCAAGAATATGGTTTTTTTAGTTAACAGTTTTAGAAACTTCTATTTGAGAACAAGCTAGGTTTTGTAATTAAACATTCTTTGGAATGTTCTACTGTTGAAGAAAGTTAGTTCCTTTAGTTAATTATTTTTTGTTTTTTCTTGGACCAGTTGATAACTCAGTTCTTTTATTATTTTTACAAGCTTTTTTTTTCTTTGAAACATCGTAAAAGTTGATGAAGGAAAGAAATAGATTGAAGAAACCAACCGCAGAAGATGAAGTCAAGCCAAGTATTTTGCGAGTTGAATCGGAGAAAAAAAAAGGGGGCTTGGAATTAATGTTATAACGATTGCCTTAAACTTAGGATAATGAGTAATGAATAATTAAAAAATATGTGCGCGTTAAAATCATGTTAACTTTTAATATATTAAGATTTAAAGTTTTATTTGATTTTCCTCACCGGTAAGCCGTGCTCCAGCGTCTCTTCGCCTGCATAGTTCTGTTCCCAGGTTCTTGTTATAAACTTGATAAAATAAAACTTAATCCTTTTGTCTGGAACCTGCTGACACTGACTATTTTGAGGAACAGAGATCCCAGTGATCACCACGTACACTGCAAAAGCAGTTGTGTCGTGCTTTCAGCAGCACGCGGGATTCTCACGAGCTTCTTGTGCGCGCGACTTAAAGGTGACGAGTAACTGTGAAGAGTCATGTTTTTCCCGGGTTTCCTTCATCCTCAGGAGGTCCCAAGGGATCCATAATATTCGCTTGCCAATAGAAACTTACTGTTGTTAACGATAATTTCAATCCGCTGGCAAAACTTTGTTAAACTGCTACCTACACAAGCCTCATGTCTTTTGGCTTTTGTTTGCTTAAAAAAGAATGAAAAGGAAAGATTTAATACACATCCATGATTGTTGATTTAAGACCGATGATTCTTTTATTACATTGTGGCTTTATCATTGTTCTAAACATAGCTCTAGCTTCCAGTCCCTGGGGCTACACACAAAACGAAGACGAAACAGGTAACGTCATGTTTTGTCTAAGTTTATCAGCAAAAAGAGTTGATAAATTAACTTTGTAAAAATTCTGTTAAAGGTGATATATTTTTTCTATTAACACAATTAACTGTTGTTTTTCAGTTTTTTTTATGAGGTATTTAACTTTTGAAAGTGAATCTTTTTAAAGACAACCACAGAATATTCTATCAAGTAGACTGTCTGAAAGGCACAAGCTTTCTTTAACAAATCTTTAGAATGCTGTTAAACAAGCAAGCATGGCATTCATTACTTATTAAAAGCATTCATTGGAGCCAGAATGAGATCAATTTACCAGTATTGTCATCTGAATCCAACGCATTTTAAGTTATTTCTATATGCAGAGTCTCTGCCAAAGACAATGTCTCTTGTGTAACAATATCTTTAGTAAGCTGTTGTCATAGTAACCAGAGATTGTCGCAGCACAATGAGCGTTACCAGACCTGTTGTTCGGGAAGATAAATCTTTATTTTATAAAGAATAAAATGTCTTTTAAGCGTTGTTTTAAAAAATCCAGCAACTATATTATCAGGTAACTTTTAAATTTATATAGTCTGGAATTAAACCATACGTATTAAAGAGATCGTTTAACTTGTATATCGAAACTGCGGCTCATTTTGATACTCAATACTTAAATATGATACTTCACGTCTAAGTATTTTTGAGTAAGAATCAGTTATTTTGAATTGTATGCCAATAGCTCCCAACATAATAAAATGGTAATTTTAATAATCTGTGTATGTCTTGAAAGTTTTTTTTTATATGAACATAACATTATAACGCATGAAGGTACCGTGGCAACTTCTGCGAACTTTGTCAACTTGCTTTATAGCGATGCAAAAATTATCGCCATCTCTTTTATTTCACTAAAACTATTTGATAATTTTCATGAAACTTCCTCTCGAGGGTCTCTAAAAGCAGAAAATCCGTCAATCTTGGTACTCTGTCATTTTTCAGTAATTTGCAAACGAATGTACCACATTGGTTCCTTTTTAATAATTTGCAAATGAATGTAGCACATTCCTTTGTTTGCCTTGCCGTTAGCATAAAAGCCCATAATGTCTATTTGTGCTGTGACCACCGACTGAGCCCCTAAGTTTGGCATTATAAGCTCTCAAGTTTACCACTTAGTCACCGGTGGGAGGTGGGGAAAGAGTTGTAGCCCATTAGTGAAATACGTTTAATAATACTTATTTCATTTACGAGGCCGGCATGGCCAGGTGGAGAAGGCGCTCGACTCGCAATCTGAGGGTCGCGGGTTCGAATCCCCGTCACACCAAACATGCTCGCCCTTTCAGCCGTGGGGGCGTTATAATGTGACGGTCAATCCCACTATTCGTTGGTAAAAGAGTAGCCCAAGAGTTGGCGGTGGGTGGTGATGACTAGCTGCCTTCCCTCTAGTCTTATACTGCTAAATTAGGAACGGCTAGCGCGGATAGCCCTCGTGTAGCTTTGCGCGAAATTCAAAACAAACAAACAAACAATCATTTACGAGCTTTTTAAAAATTTTCCATGTGAAATCTCCAAATATCGGTAGCAATTCCTTTGAATTCAGATTTCAAAATCCTTCAGTGGTATGTAGTAAATAATTTCAGTGTCACACATACTCAGAAACACGCTTTGATATGTATGTCTAAAAATATCTAAACTTCGTAAATTGAGCCGAAAAGCGTGGACAATACATAATTCAGATTAATCAAATTAATTTCACTTTATATAATAACAATTCTATGTGTACATATGGGCAACAAAGCTTTCGAGAAATTCATTATTTTATTGAACAATTTGAGTTATAATGACTTCATAACCCTGTGTGTGATGTCTGTTCTTCATAATTCAAAGTTTTATGAGTATAATCGCAATGCGTGCAGTTCCTATATGCCTTTCAACTATGTCAAGACTACATAAGCATAAGAACTTAAATGCATTTAGAAATATAATTCTTGTTGAAAATTAAATTCAGATGTTAGAGACAGTTTTTACGCATCGAATACACTTAATCACAAACAGAAGGCACATTTTTTTCCCATTTACAACAGTCCATTTTTTACGACCTGCCAAAATGCCCTATAACGATTACGATAAAACTCTACTATTCACTCAGATAAGAGTAGCCAAATAGTTGGCGGTAGGTGTTCTTGACTAGTAGCCTTCCTTCTAGCCTTTTAGTTGAAAATAAGGGATAGCTATAAGAAGATAGCATTTGGATAGTCTTGGGGGAAATTCTGAAATAAACAATGAACAAAAATATTGTAGCACCTTAATACTTTAATAATAAACTGGAAGTCTTTGAACTTTTTTTATATAATTACAACTAGCAGGGACGTAACTCCACTGTAATTCAAAAGGAGGTATTAGAATAAAAAGGGTATTTATGGCAAAGCTGCTAAGGCTATCTTCCCTAAGTTTGAGCAACTGACCGCAGGGAAGGCAACCAGTTAACAACACCATAACAACTATCATACTTGCTATATAATTGAGTGTCACTCTTATAATACATTCACATTTTAAAGTACGCAGAATATTCTAGGGTATCACACAGATTCGAACCCAGCCTGCCAGATCTGAAGTCCAGATCTCTATCACAGGTCCAGTATGTGCCCTGAAAAAAAAAAACTAATGAGAATAATAAATCAGGAGATACATATATTGATCTTAGCTTGTCACCAAAACTTTTATTGTTATAAATATATAAAATTAATTTTTTTTTACACTGGAAGAACAAGAGACAATACGATAAAAAATTGTAACAAAATAACAAGTTTACCAATTTTTCAAACTGATGGGTGAAGCAAAAATGTTTCTTAAGTTTTGTTGTTTTATTATCATTAAATATTTTCTTTCAATCTTCTATATATA